ATCATGACAGTCAGTTTTCGGCTTTCTCTACTGAGGTGCTCACCTGGGCGAACCGGGGCACAATCGCAGTAGTTCTCCTGGTGCCGCGTTAGCCGATAGAGCGGAATGTAAGGCAGCAAAAGACAGGAGCCGGGCAAACCCAACATTTGACAAAAGACATGATTCGGAGCTGATGCATATAAGGCCTAACTCGAGACGCCGAACACTCCCTAAGGTATTTGGTCTTTATGAAAACGGGCAGAACAATGCCCTAAGCCCCTAGTGTCCAGGTACGCGCAAAAATTTCTGACGTGGTCGATGCCAAAACGCCAGATTCCTCCTCGGTATAGCAAAAAACCGGGGGATGTATATCAACAAGAGACAGTAAAAAAGGTTTACGCAGGGCCTTAATCTGAAAAGAATCCTTGCATCGGGTCCCTACTGCACGTCTGCGCCTATGTCTCTGTTGTGCCGTATCCTGGACGGGTGTCGCACGGCGTTCATCTATAAAAGAGAAGAACTTAGTTGCGAAAGATGTATTTTGAAGTAAACAGAGTATGATTCAAAGAATGAATAAAATTGAGCTTTATTGTCTCTTTTTGTGTATGCGTGGAGCCCTTTGTAAAGGGGTACGCGGCTAGTAAGCACCTTGTTTATTTATACCGGACTCGCCTAACCGTGTCTGGGGTCTGAATGACCTGTTAAGGGGCTTTGATCAGCAAAGCCGGATTAGTGTGTGGCTGTCAAGGCAGTCTCACTTTCTTCCGTATTCAAGGAACACTCGAAGTTTCCCTTTAATGAGATGATGCCGCGTGGACCGGGCATTTTGAGTGTAAGAGATGTGTAATGCGGTATTGCGTTAAAGCGGGCGAAAGCTTCGCGTCCCAATAGTGCTCGATAGCTACTTTTAAATGGGGCGATGTGAAAGATTAACTTTTCGCGACAGAAGTTGTCGGATGAGCCGAACACAACTTCTAGTGGTAGAGAGCCCGTACAATGGGCATATTGGCCTGGCATCACTCCTTTAAAGGAAGTGTTGCTATGGCGTATTTTGGTTGGGTCTATCCCCATTCTGCGGATTGTATCCTGATATAGCAGGTTTAGATCACTACCGCCGTCCATTAGGACCTGTGTAAATTGTAGTCCGTCGATTACAGGATTTAATATCAAAGCAGTCCATCCTGCGTTCCGGATACTCCCGGAGTAATCCTGATGGTCGAAAGTGATTGGTTTTGACATCCAGTGTCGGGACTCCGCTAGGGTGGACCTTGCGGTGCATACTTTAATGGGCGCCGCTCTATTTTTTCCTGTTGTCACTTGAAGTGAATTTACTATTTTGACCTCTTGTGGGAAATCCTTTTATTTTCCGGTGCTCTGCTTGTGAGGTTCGTCATCGTCCTCACTTGGTGTGTCTAGCCTCTTGTGTTCGGCGTTAAGTCGGCCGGACTGCTTGAAGACCCAACAATCTCTGTGGGTATGGTTTGCAGGCCTCCCGGGGGTACTGTGGATTTGGCATATCTTGTCCAAGATTTTGTTTAGGTTGGATAGCTCGTCGCTGTTCTCCTTGAGAGGCAGTTTTTTGTTGTTCTGCCGAGAGCTTTTGAATCCGGCGTTGACTGCCATGCTCTTTGGACCATTTCCTTTAGTCTGGCGCTGGTCCTTGTTGCGCCGTGGTTTCACATTTCCATCCCTGACCTCGGATGTACTTGGGTCGTTGGTGTTGCATCTTGCCAGCCAGCTATCCTCTCCCGTGCAAAAGCGGGTCATGAGGCTTGTTAGTGCGGCCATTGTTCTTGGCTTTTCCTGGCCGAGGTGTCTGGCGAGCCATTCGTCTTGGACGTTATGCTTGAAAGCTGTTAAGGCTTCGGCGTCCGGACAGTCGACTATCTGGTTCTTTTTGGTGAGGAACCTGTTCCAGAATTTGCGGGCTGACTCTCCGGGCTGTTGAGTTATGTGACTTAAATCGTCTGCATCTGGAGGGCGGACGTAAGTCCCCTGAAAATTTTCCTGCAATGCATCCTCGAGCTCTTCCCAACTTCCAATGGTATTTTCTGGGAGGCTTTTGAGCCAGTGTCGGGCTGGCCCTTTGAGTTTGAGGGGTAAGTATTTTATGGCGTGGAGGTCATCTCCTCTAGCCATATGTATGTGCAGGATGTAATCCTCAATCCAAACTCCGGGGTCTGTTGTTCCGTCGTATGCCTCTATATTTATGGGCTTGAATCCCGTTGGAAATTCATGATCCAGCACCTCATCGGTGAAACATAGGGGGGGTGCGGCGCCCCTGTATTTGGGTGTGCCGTGATTTTCAAATACTCGACGTGTTGTGTTACCTTCTGGAGCTTGCTTTCTTGGCCCATAGATGGATCTAACCGGGCCATCCTTTTTGCGAGGGTCCTTATGTGGATCGCGTGCCGGCTTGTGTGCGGCGCCGCTTGCCGCTCTTTGTTTGTCATGTGGTCGTTTATCCGACCGGGCGGCCTCTTTGTTTTTTGATTTTTGGGGCTCTACGGCCTCCTCATCAAGTTCGGGCAATAGTTTGCACTTCGAGTAGCTCTTTGCTTGGCGACTATCGCCGTATTTGTCTGTGGTCTTGAGTACTTTGCTCCATCTCATTCTGAGTACGTCTTCCGCTGTTTTGAGCTTCCGCTTCTGCTTCTTCAGGCTTCGTGCAGTGGCGACGAGCCTTTTGTGGAGGTTCTTCTGCTCCAACGATGTGTCCGGCGTGAGATCATCCGGACTGTTGTGTTCGTCGGAGATGGGTTGCCTATCCAATTCATCCTGTTTGGATGGTTGCTTGGGGGCATGTTCGTCGTCCACTGGTTCGCCCTGCTCTATGGCTGGGTCTTCATGGGTGCTGCTGTTGTCGAGGCGGGACTTTGGGCGGCGCTTGCGTCGCCGTTTCAGCTGTTTTTCGGGGGAATTTTCCTTCGCAGCATCCCGTTGTTCCTCGTTATTGCTTCCTTTGGGTGTATCCACCATATATATATCGTGAGTTGAGGTGGCTTTTCCGTGCCCTGTCGGCGCTGGTTCTTCGTCGTCTCCGGCATCGTCGTCCATACCGTCGATATCTTCGGAGTCGAAATCTAGCATGTCGGTTAAGTCATCGACAGTGGCTACGAAGTGGGTGGTGGGTGGGCTTTGAGTTTCTTCGCCGTCCGCATCCCAACCGTCCTGGCCATAATCCGGCCAAGGCTCTCCTGATAAAGAGAGGCATTTTAGCGAATTTAGGATGTCGCCGAAAGGCGAGTGCTGAAAGATGTCCGAGCGGTGAACTCCATGATCGGCGCCCAATCGGGTTCGATTGGCAGGAGCGCGGAAGGTTCGGGGTCCGGAGAAGAGTCCGGCACCTTGGAGTCACGAGCTTCACAAGGGACATGGTCAATATTCGGCTCCATCGCCGTATAGGTAGCAGCCCCCGAGGCGGTGTCTAGCCACCCATCCTCGATCGGCGCAGTCGGCTCCGAGTTAAGGGTCGGGGCGGACTCTTGTGCGGCCTCCAGGGCACTGTCCGGCGGCAGAGCTGAATCATGCCCATCATGACAGTGCGGCGCGCTCGGCTGTGGCTCGAGTCCGTCGAAGATCAAGTCTCCGCGGATGTCGGTCGTATAGTTTAAACTTCCAAATCTGACCTGATGGCCAGGGGCGTAGTTTTCGATCTGCTCCAGATGGCCAAGTGAATTGGCCCGCAGTGCGAAGCCGCCGAATACGAAGATCTGTCCGGAGAGAAAAGTTTCGTCCCAGACCGCGTCGTTGTTGATGATCGAAGGAGCCATCGGGCCTATGGGCGACGACACAGAGGAACTCTCAATGAAAGCACCAATGTCGGTGTCAAAACCGGCGGATCTCGGGTAGGGGGTCCCGAACTGTGCGTCTAGGCGGATGGTAACAGGAGACAAGGGACACGATGTTTTTACCCAGGTTCGGGCCCTCTTGATGGAGGTAAAACCCTACGTCCTGCTTGATTAATATTGATGATATGGGTAGTACAAGAGTAGATCTACCACGAGATCAAGGAGGCTAAACCCTAGAAGCTAGCCTATGGTATGATTGTTCTTCGTCCTAGGGACTAAAACCCTCCAGTTTATATAGACACCGAAGAGGGCTAGGGTTACACAGAGTCGGTTACAATGATAGGAGATCTACATATCCGTATTGGCAAGTTTGCCTTCCACGCCAAGGAAAGTCTCATCCGGACACGGGACGAAGTATTCAATCTTGTATCTTCATAGTCTTGGAGTCCGGCCGATGATGATAGTTCGGCTATCCGGACACCCCCTAGTCCAGGACTCCCTCAGTCACCAAAAGCTTAGGCGCCTTAGATAATGGAAGGGGGTAGAGTGGGGCGTTTTGGAGCTCAACCTCAATGGAGGCCGATTTATTTATTTTATCGCCAAAAAGCGTCGAAAATTTTGAAAAATTCAAGTTCTCGATTTCAATAAAATCTGAAAAAAAAATATGTACAGGTAAACAAGGATGTGATATGTATGCGTACAATTTCAGGACTATGAAAAAAATCATGGATTTTCAGGAAGAATAGTGCATCTACTTAAGAAGCCTCGAAATGTTTTTGTGTAGCACTCATTTTAATGTATTTCATCATGAAAATTTACATACTTGTGCATGTCTTTATGTATATGTGGGGTTTTTTTCAAAGTTTTTTTAATGTGCAAATTTGAATTTTAATCATTTCAAATTTGGCCTCCACGGAGGCCGAGCTCTCCATTGAGCATTTCGGGAGGGAGTACAACTATATCACACCACGGTAGGCCACATACATGATCTTGTTTGCGGAATGGTCAAAAACAGGAAGGGTTGGTTCACCGAGCCGGCACCTCCCCACCCCGATCTACAAGCATATAGATAATAACAAGAAAATGAACGAATAAAACAATGACCAGCTAGAGGTAATACACATCTACTATTTCCACTGCTCAACAACACTCGGATCCGAACAGCCGCGCACATGATCGCATCAGCCAAGAAAGAAACCATGCCCTTTCTTCCTTTTATCCCACGAGCGTTTACGAGGGAGGGAAGAAGCGGTTGAGGTTGAATGGCAGGCTGTAGAACTCCTCGTTCCTGCTGTCCCCCTTGAAGGAGCGGAAGGGCACCCACCACGGCATCCCGCGGTCCCTGCCCGCGTCCTTCACCTCCAGCGTGTTGTCCAGGAACACGGCCACCATCAGCCCCACCGTCGGCGGCGACGAGAAGATGGTGTTGATGTAGTCGTTGAACTGCAAGCACACATGTCACCATGCCAGGGCCGGCCACACACGATGTTAAAGTGGAGTTCAGGCACGCCAAGAAGATGTTTTGACCACTACGAGCCACGAGCGAGAGAGAGAGAGAGAGAGGGACGGACCCATCCAGCTTTAGTGTGCGCAGGACCACGCTGGGCAGCCATGCTGTAGCGGAAGAAGTACTCCGGCACGGACAGGCCAAGGAAGATGGACACGCCGACGATGAACAGGTTGCGCATGGAGTTCATGTTGGTGAACTGCAAGAAGGAGAGCCCCACCGCAGCTGCAGACACACAGAAAAAGCCAACAGCGATTAACCAGACCGTCAAATCAAATGCACATAGTACTCGTAGCAGCAGATGGGGCGGGGTAACCAACCAACTAGTCCGAACAGGACGCAGTACACGGCGGCAAAGATGGTGAACGGGATGGAAGCGAACAGCGCTCCAAATTTCCCTGCACATGATACAAGAGAGTGGAGTTGTTCAGGAATACGGTGTTTCTCAGCATAAGGAATGATCTGAAGAAAGACAGTTCAGTTCAGATAGCTCACCCAGCATGGAGAAGAAGATCATGAAGCCAGCACAGATTTGTATGACGCGGCGGCTCCCGATCCTCGTTGATCCTAGTAACCCCACGTTCTCCCTGCATTTGTTCCCGACAGTATCAATCAAGGCTGGAAGAAACATTTTTGTAATGCTTCTTCGTATATTACGAAATTGCTTTCGCGTAACTTACACTGAGACAGTGGAGCCGGTCCCTGTTCCAAAGAGCCCACAAAGGAGGATGCCAATCCCCTGTTTCATAGAGCATTATTACTCATCAAATCTCTTATTAGAGTAAAATTAGTTTTCAGTTTTGAATGGCATTCAGAACAGAGAAGAATAAAACAGCCAGGGCTCGAAGATGATATTTACCTGCCACCCGATGCCTCTGCTCAGGATGTGAGCTGGGGGTGGAGTTGCACTTGCAAGCCGAGCTGCAGCGCTGTAAGAAGCTGTGGACTGTTGTTCAACGGAGACATTGTTAAGATCACGACTAAATTGCATAGAAGAAATGGATCCTGTCAACGAGCAATTAGGGGTATCACCTCTATTAGCGACACCAAAACCGCAGACACCATACCGAACGATTGCCCGGCACTGAAGGTTGGTGCCCCCCACTGCAGGGGATATGGGATCTTAATCCTGGAATAAGGACAGCACAATCATATCAGTACGAAACTCAACCGAATAATAAGTAATGCTCTTTAAAATGGATTATTATTTTTTCCAACTGGAGCTAATTTGAGAGTTAGTATTAGATTAAAAAAAAAACATGATGCACAGTACAGATGAACCATTTTCATGTACACGCAAGAGGTCAAGAAGATTCTAGATTTATATTGGGAAAATTGGCAAAGGGGCTAACCATGGCGCAGAAGAGATGAGATTGGCACGGTCAGTGCGGCAGTTGATCTGAGTGACCTCGGTGCTATGATTATACGCGCCACCAGAAGTGAGGATTTGAGCATACGCCCAGACCAATGCGATACAGATGAACAGGGAGAACCGTTCCAGTATGGGGATCTCTCTTATCTGTACATTCTTCAGATACTGATAAACAACAAAAACAAAACGGCACTAGTTAGCAATGCTGAACTTCCTAGCACGACACGGATTTTACTTTAACTAGCAGCAAAGACTTGGGGGTGATTAGAGTTGCTTTTCAAACCTGGGAAAGCACAACAAAGAGGATTAACATTGGCAGGCCAACCTCAACGCATCTCCCAACCTGATATACACAGTATCAAATAAGTACCAATGCTGAACGACGTGCCACCTTTCTAGGAAAACACGCACATATACAGAGTTTGCTATTGTGGCCAAATTGAGAAACACCAAATGAAAAATCAGGTACAGAGCAGGCCATACCACAGGGAATCCTCTTTCGAAGAGACCAAAACCGAGCAGCGCAACCACCGGCGCCATTCCCAGCGGACTGAAGAATCTGAAAGTTACACCCATGACACACATCCATCAGTAAGCAAAACTGAACTAATGTGTAAATGCAGCACGCAACATGTTAATACTACTAATACAACTACTTGACAGACCTGGAGAAAATACCCCAGAGCTGGCTGTAACCAAGGATGATCTGAATGCTGGACGACACTATCAGTGCCCCCTGTATGGCCCGCATGCTCTGGAGGAACCTCTGCTCAAAGATGATTTTGATTAGACCATACCGTTAAAGAATTTCTGAATGTGCGGATACTAGGAAGTAAAAGTGAATGAATGATTGGTCACCTCGTGGTCGTCAGATATGGCTGCGAGCGAGGAGTCCTGCACGATGGCCATCACCGGGATGACGAAGGCGTATGAGCCGCCTATGACCGTCGGCAGCCGCGTCCCGAAGAGCGACTGCAGCAGCGTGTTGATGCCGGTGACGAATAGCAGCGTCTGCACCACCCTCACCCTGTCTCCCTGCAACCCATCCGAGATGGCAAGCCGAGGACACCATCAGACACTGTTGGCACTGAAACTTGTGACGGCAGGCGCCAACCCATGGGGTGGTGCGATGCGAATCAAGAAACGCGGAGGCGCACTCACGTCGTTCCCGCCCATCATGGGCACCAGCACCGCCGGGATCATGACGGCCGTGCCCAGCGCCAGGATGTAGTGCTGGAAGCCCAGTATGATGGCCTCCCCTGAAGAACACAAGACAAGAGACCACGCCTCAGAGTGGAACCCAGACAGAGTAGCTCGAAAATGCAGCAAAGCTGGTGGGTTAGAAACAAGCATCCCCTTGTCGGAGTCACTCACCCCATGGAGGGTTGGAGTCGATGCAGTACTCGAACCCCTGCAGCTGCTCCATGGCCGGGTGGCTGATCTCCTCCGGCTTCACCTCCGACATCTCCCCTTGCTGGCCTCGCACCGTCGCCGAGAGGAAGAAGAAAGAAGAAACGCCGCTCCTCTGTACCGCACTCCACAGGACTGCTTCCCTCCCTCGCTTATGAAGGCAGCCACCGCACCGCACGGCGGCCCTGTGGGTGATCCCTTGTGACCGCCCCTTGTCCTCTGGCGGAGGAAGAAGACAACCGGACGGGGGCTTGCTTCCGCCGCGCACAGCACTCAAGAGCCTCGGCGCCCCTTTGCAGGAGCCCGGACGAAATCTGTTGGGGAAAAAGGCTGCGAGGATGATGATGGTGGTGAGCAAGCGAGGGGCGAAGTGCGAACGGCAAGAGCAATCCGCGCTGCTACGATACTAGAGATACTGCGGCTGGCTGCTAGCGTACCACTACACCACTAGAGTCGCCAGCCTTTCTCGTGCCGTGGTGGTGGTGCCTCTCCTTTCCTTGCCCCTAACCTTTTCCTTTTATCCTCGGGAGGCTCCTCCTCCGGGGTTAAATGCTTTCCGGTCTGTGGAGTGAGACAGTGAATGTGTTCTTCTTCCCTCCTCCATGCATCCTCACTCCCGGAGAACTGGCCGTTGGATTTTTGGCTCTGACCGAACTGCCCCCGGCGTCGCACTGCATTTCATTTTCCTACCGGCCGCTCCTACGAACCTACCTAGGACATCCGCATCATAATCTACGCACTGCACTGTAGGTCTTTCTTTTCTTTTTCTTTCCCCTTTCCTTTGAACCATGTCGTGTCTTTCATCATTTGCCTACTACTTGACGACCAGACTTTACCCATGAGCCCCCGCCGTAACGTGCGGAACGCAAAAGGTGGTGGTGGCGGTAAATACTTTCGTGCCAGTACGTCTACGTGGCTCTCCTCCTCCTATCATTGAGGCATTGACGACTCCTCCCGGCCAAGGTCCAGAAGCGACCCAAAGATCTTTCTTGGCACGCGAAGGGCACCTGCATTGCACGCACGTAAGGGCATCTCCAGCCGTTGGCCCCTTATGGGGCGTCTAAAAACGCCGCCTCCGGGTGAGCCGGCGCAAAAAATGGTCCTGGGGCGAGTCGGTCCACAGCCGTCAGCCCCAGGGCCGCCCCCAGGCGCGTATTAAAAAAAAAACCGTTCGACGAAGTTATGATAAAAACTAGTTATATTTCGGCCAACCATGGCAAGTTTCGGCGAAATTCGTCCAAACATTACATTAACCTAATCTAAAGTAAAAGAAAGTAGCTGAAGTCGTCGCCGCCATCGTCGTTGTCGGCCTTCTCCTCCTTGACGCGGGTGCCCTTGCTGGACCCCTGCCCGGCGTCGCCTTGGCGAACAGGCGGCGGCGCGTCGTCGTCGTCGTCGCTGTCGCATAAGACGACGACCCCGCCTTCCTCGCGGCCGCGTCGGCGCTCCTCGAAGCGGCGTAGGGCGGCGCACTGGCGCTCCTTCTCCTTCTCCCGGCACGCCTTCTTCAACGCGATGGAGTCCTGGCGCGCCCATTCGAGGGCCGCGTCGTCGTCGTCGAACTCCGCATTCACCGGCGCCAGCCCTGGCTCCGTCTTCACCGGCGCCAGCCCCGGCTCCGTCTTTGGCTTGACGAAGCGCGGAGGAGCCGACGAGGACGAGGCGCGCCGGCCGCCCCCGTTGATGACGATGCCGGCGCTGCGAGTGCGTCGGTTGAGCGGCGTCTCCGCCGCGGGCTCGGCCTTGACGCCGAGCAGCGCCGGAGAGCCGGATGAATGGGAAGAAGAGCGCGATGAGGAGGAAGAAGAAGAAGAGCCGAACCTCCTCGGCGCCCATGGCCCGACGCGTCGGTGCTGCGCCGGGGCGGCCACCCTCGCCGGGGGGTACGCCAACGGCGGGTCGTTGCTGCCCTCGAGGTACGTGAGCACGCCCTCGAGTGTGCGGCCGGGGACGCCCCACCAGAGGTGGCGCCCCTCGTTGTTCTGCCGGCCTCCGACCACCGGAGCGCCGTTGGTGGACGCCAAGCGCTCCTGCTGGCGGCGCTGGAAATACGCCTCCCAGGCCGCGTGGTTGTCGGCGGCGTACTGGGGGAGGGAGCGGTGGGCGTCGGTGAGGGACGCGCGCACGATGTCGACCTCCTCGGCGAAGTACCTCGGCTTCGCCACGGCGTCGGGCAACGGGGGAATGGGCACTCCCCCGGCGCTGAGCCTCCACCCCGTTGGCCCGGCGCGCATGTCCGGCGGCGTCGGGATGTTCGCCTGGAACAGGAGCCAGGACTCCTGTTCGCGGAGCGAACGGCGGCCGAAGCCGTTGGCCGCCGCCTCGTCTCCGGGGAAGCGTTCTGCCATGGCGACGGCGGGGCTGGGCGGGCTCGGGAGAGGTAGAGAGAGGGGCTGGGCGGCGGCGCTCGGGAGAGGCAGGGAGAGGGAGGGGCTGGACGTCGGCGAGGGGGGGCTGGTGTGGGCACAGGCGAGTGGAGGCCGCCGGCTTTTATAGCCGGCCCGCGCCCGTGTGTACGCGTGCGAGGGAGGGAAGGCGTTGGCGCGCCGTCCCGTGAAGCGCCGCCCGTGAGGAATCAATGACAAGGCTGGCCGGCGGCAGCCTTGCCATTGATTCTCCGTGGGAACCGAGGCCGTTGAGGGGAAGATGAGGCGCCGAGTCGCTGACGCGGCTGGCCCGCGTCTTTTTCGCGCCAAAACAGTTTGCCCCGGCGCCCCCGTGCGCCCCCCAGCGCGTCGGGTTCGGGCTGGGTCCGCCGGCGCTGTTTTCGGCCCAAGCCGACGAAAATCGGACTCCTGGAAACGCGACTGGGCCGTTTTTTCGGCGCCGGCGTAAAAAAATCGTCTGGGAAGGCCTTCGTGTGGGCGCAGCTGGAGATGCCCTAATATCGTGAGATGGAGTATCATGTGGCCCTCCTCCGCCCGTTGGGAGGGGGAACACCTCCTGATGAACCCGATGGGACATACACTCACTCGGTCCAATTAGATATCCACAGCGCCGCCTGACGGCCGCAGGGGATGCTTGTAGTCTTCCCGATTGTTAAAGCGCGCGGGCACGTCAGCTCATGTCCTTGTTTTCTGCCTCGCTCGCAGTAGAATACTGCGCCCGAGATGAGACACCAGCCAGACCACGGGAAAGGAAAGTTACCGTTGGGTGCGCTGCGGTGCGGTGTGGGTTGATGATGATGAGACGTGTGTTGTGTTTGGGCTTCGTGGCGAGAGAGGAGAGGAGGAGCACATAGCACGGGCAGGCAGCACCGGCGGCCCAGTTGCCTCTGGGCGGGCGCATTACCGTGCAAGACGACGTCCCCTCCTCCCGGCCAGCAGCCGGGGCCCCGCGTACGGCCGAAAGCGATCTCATGAGATAGCCTGCTGCTGCACGGACTCCCGTGCAATGCCCCCGCCGCTGCGCCGGTCTACATTTGTGTGTGATGCTACCGTGGCCTGCCATGGTGGGTGGCCCTGCCTTCAATACGTACTCGTACGAAGGAAGGAGGAGGTGAAGTGAGGCCAACTCCACCGTGCGACCCTATCCTGTCCACTCCTGTTCGTTTGGGGTAAAAGGGACAAAAGAGGCGGCCCAGTGCGCGGCCTCAAACGGACAAATGTCCGGATTCCGTCCGTTTTCGACCCATCCCCGGCCTAAACTTGCGCTCGGTTTGGGGTGAAACGGACAGCGCGCGGACGGGCGGGACGCGCGCGCTTGTCCTCCCCTGGCCCGCC